TCATACCTAGTCTGTCAGGACATCACACCCATGGAGAGGGCTCCTCTAGCTACATAGTGATGGGGCAGCGGGAGGGTGTGTTTGGTTCCCATCATCACTCCAAAGGCAGGCGTATTCTGCGGCGCTCATCTAGTCGTGAATCTGAGGCAGAGCGCAGGCTTTTAAGTAAGAGGGCTTCCCTGCCTCTGGCATCCCATGAAAGACTAACCCCACATAGAAAAGATGAAGATGAGGATGATGAAGAATATGCCATCATGTCACGTAGTGCCAACAGGGAGAGGGCTGATTCACGCCATGGCTCAGGGAATCCTTCAGTTAGGGGTGGGGAGCAGGATGTAGTCGTAAAAAACAGGAAGAGGACTGACAAAAGCAAAGGTGAAAAAGATGCAGGAGGGGCTCTGGACAGTGGTTACATGTCAATGTTGCCTGGAGTCACATCTCCTCCTGTTTCACTCTCTCTGTCTATAGGTATGTACGATACTGGTGCTAAACTTGGGGCAGATGATGAGTACATGGCTATGACCCCCAATAGCAGCGTGTCCCCCCCTCAGCACATGCGTCAGCCCAGCTCAGAGGGTTACATGGTTATGTCTCCCAACAGCAGTAGTTCCACAGACCTGCACAGACTGGGCATGTGGGAGAGCAGGGCCAGTATGGAGAGCCGAGCTGTCAGCGACTATATGAACATCTCACCCATCAGTAGCCACTCTGCCTGCAGCACGCCACCATCCCAACCCGAGCAGCACCAACTTCAACCAAAAATGTTCAACTCGTACTTCTCCCTGCCACGAGCCTATCAGCATACCCTCTACACTCGCTTTGAGGATGACTTAGACAAAGGAGAAGAAATAAAAGACAACAGTGGGCATGATGGCGCTGGAAGGGGAGGGAGAGTGGGCTACAGCAAGAGAAACAAAATTGCAGTGGGCTCTGCAGGAGGCTGCCAACTCTCCATGTCTTCCTCTTCTTTCTCCTCTAGTTCCGCCAGCAGTGAAAGCCTTGAAGACAAGTCTGTGTCAGCAGGGAGAGGGTTAAGTTTGTTAAGAACTGGAGCAGAATGCAAGAGTGCTGAAATATGCACCAAAGAGGGACGTCACCACCAAAAACGTGGATCAAGTAGTAAGAGCCCAAAGCAGCACAGGAGGGGGCGTCCCCTGAGCATGTCTTCAGACATCACAAAAGCAAATACCCTACCCAGGGTGAAGGAGAACCTCCCCCCATCAGTGTCTCAGAGTGTGGATGAGTATGTAAGCATTGTCTTTAAGGAAGACAATAAATATGATGAGGGACGATGTGCGGGCTCTCAGCATCGACAACCGGTTATCCACGCAACCTTACGGCCCTCAAATCAACCACTCCTCTGTCATGATAATCCTGCTAACCTTCCCCGCAGTTTCTCTGCACCACTTTCCACCTCTGCTGAGTATGTCAACATGGATCTAGGGAAATCCTCAACACCCCAGACTCATGTTAGATCCACATTCAGCACCCTACAGGGCTCACCAGCTGTTGCCAGTAAGACCCGACATGAACACAGCACATCCTCTCCTCTGGCAGCGGAGTTAAATGCAGGGTACCGAATAAAAATCAAGTTGCCAGCAGATGTCCCCACTCCATTTATCGACAGCAAAGGATCAGATCCCAACATTTCAGCAAGACCTGCCATCCACCCTGGTCCACCCTTATCTGTAGAGCAGGAAATGAGTTTGAGTTCTTCCCCTGTAAAGTCCTTCCGGTCTCCTGACCGGGGTAGCAGACTGGTCCAAGGTGATCAGCAGGGACACTTGAGCCACTGTTCAGAGACTTTTAACTCACCACCATCTTTACCACGATATGCATCGACTTCTACCTCCCTGTTCCCAGACGGCAGCCAGACAGTGAGCAATCGGCAGGGTCTGGACTGCTCACTGTGGGAGAGCGGGCAGGCTGCTGGTTTGTCTGCCACACCTCCACCTCAAGCCCCCACCTTATCCACTGAACAAGGCCTTAACTACATAGACCTTGACTTAGCCATGAAGGAGGACCCTCAAGCAGGAGTGGAGCACGCCTCTCCGGTCTACAGCTCCGGAGGAAGTGCTTTGGGGAGCAGTGCTGGCTCTGGACCCAACACTTACGCCAGTATTGATTTCTACAAGTCAGAGGAACTAAGAACAAACCAGAAAAGTAGAAAAGATGGTCAAGGTGAGTGCTGCAGGTCTTTAAACACAGTTTATCGCTAACGACAGTCACCTGGTAGATGATACAATGGCTTTGATATATTCTATAGGCTTTGCCTTCATACATTTATATACATAAACATGTATCTTGGGCAAAAATGCACAGCTTAATAATATTTAATTACAATTATGTATGTGGTGCTGTTCTAAGTCATATACTCATTTTACAATACTAATAAAACAGACTATTTTTGGCAACAGGGAGTTTCAGACTCTTCCACAGATTTCTTGCTTCATTTTTGAAAATAAAGGATGATACATTAAGCATAGGTGAAAAAAAATGTTTTTTTAGTCATATTGGTCAAAATGGATGAAAGTTTTAAAATAATGTGAAAAATCCTCAGACATAAATCCACGTCTGGGTCTTAGTCACTTCTCCTTTCATCGTGTCCTGATGTGACTCGGAGCTGGTGGGCAGCAAAGAGCTTTCAGTCGGTAGGCTGTCTGTAGAGTCTCTTATTATCACAAGTGGGTGTTCAGAGAGCAGAGCCAATTGATTTGTCTGCTGGTAATGAGCCATTGCACATGAATGAAAACATAGAGGACAAGAGCCAGGTGTTTATATTTATATGTGGGCGGGCTGCTGGCTGCAGGATGGCGGCTTCGAGGTTTCCCTCACATTGCAGATGTGACAGTTATCTAACGGTTAATACTTTTGTTTTTAATGAGCGGCTGCATGTAAAGAAACCATTTTTGTGAAAATGTGCTGTCGAGTGTGAGTATTAGCCAGACAGATTTATTTTGTTGAAAGCAGCATCACTTACGCAACTGGCAGTTTATTTCCAGACAAACGTCTTATAACAAAGAAAACAAGGATCTGAACATATTTTTAATGCATACTATTGACCGTTTCTTTGTGTAAAAGCCTCAAACCCACTTGTCTCAGTTTTTATAGCTTGCAGACATTTTTCATAATCTCATAGATGCAATGCATATCATAGCCTTGCAAAGCCTGTCTTAATCTGTGCTCAGAGTCTACAGTGTGGAAGACTCTGAGCTACCACCACATCAAGTTTTAAGTTAATATTTGTAAAATTGACTGCGCAATAGACATTTTTGTCATGGAGAGAAAAGAAGAATTGGAAATACCCTCCATTCATCCATCCGTCTATCCATCTTGTGGAGCATGATAACTTGAAAAATACATGAGGTATCAAATTCCAGTTTGGTGTGTGCCTGCATCTAGGCCTAAGAAAGTTTCTTATCGAAAGTTGGTTTGCCACATCAAAATCCAAGATGGCCACCACCAATAATATGTAAACAAGCTGTTGTTGTGTTTGCTATAATTGGTTAGCTGTGGCGGACATCTTGAATCAGACTGGTTCCTAAACTTTATCACTTGTAAATGATTGTCTAATGATTTCTTAGCGTTTCATTCTAATCCATCCAGTGGTTTATGCAATATTTAGCTAACACACAGCCAAATTACCACACGCAAAAGCAATTTTAATATTGCCCATCTTTAGTGGCAGTAGATTATATGTGTCAAACTCTAGGCCCGGGGGCCAAATGTGGCCCTCAGTGACATTATCTTTTATCACTTCATTTTTTTTCAGTAATCTTTGATTATGATGTCAAAAGTGCAACAAAGAACGTCAAATGAGACCAATCAAACTCTTGTTGAGGAAACTGTAACCAATAAAAGATGTTGGGTATCTAACTTGAGTTAATGTAGATTCTGAAACCGGCCCTTAGTTTGAACAAGGTTTTAATTTTGGCCCCCTTTTGTAAGTGGGTTTGACACCCCTGCAGTAGATGATAACAAGAAGAGCTGCTAATAAACAAACTTGGTCCTCAAATGTCCAATCACGTCCTGCAGTTTTGTTTCGCTGACCCAGTCCAAAGCCGATCAACAAACTGTTTGTGTTGTTAAGGAGGATCGTAAAGAGCAGAAACAACGACCGCACGCGATAAAGCTGCCACAAACACACTGTCATGTGCAACAACAGCCATGAGACCAATCAGAAAAAACTTCCACAAAGATATCGAGCGTCATGTGATATTTGCTCAAGCTGCCAGCAGGAACTCTAGATTAAACAAGAGCAATATGCTGAGGCGAGTGTTTCATCAAGACAGAGATGATTTATCTTCCGTAATGTTCCGGAAATACAGTTTACGCTGCATTCATGCAAAAAAATAAACTTTTATATCATGAATGTGTGTAAAATTGCTTCCTGGTTTTGATTTTCTCATTCCAGACTGCTGATCGTTGCCTCGGGTACGAGTGTGACGCCGGTGAGACGGGTTGACTCGTGAGCGACGTCCCGACCTGTTGGCACAACAGAACCCAACGCTGGAGTCTGAACACTGAAAGCCCTGAAGTCTCCTCCTCATCCCGTCTGCTGATTTCTGTCAACCAAATGTGTGCCAAACAAACACACACACACACAAGACACAAAACTTAAGGAAAAGATTTGGTTCGTGGACTTTGTTTAAAAAAAAAAAAAATAGACATTTGATTTTTGTTTAACTTCGTACAGACGAGGCATGACTTCACGGAGATATCGTGTTGATTGCTGCTCCTCTCTGAAACGTCCTCAACACATCTGTTTTAACACGACTTTCAGGGAATGGCACAAAAGGCAAAAAAAATAAATAAATAAATCTGTGTATCTTAGTTTATCCTGCGAGTGAGCCAGTTTGTCAGCGTTTGGTGACTTAAGGCTGGAGAAGAAAAAAGGAAATGGCAGCTGCTATGTTGACACAATCTCAGCAAAGTTTGGGGATTTAATTAGTGTTTTTATTCTAGTATTTATTGCCTTTTATGTCTCATCCTCATTTGTATGCAAATTAAATGATCATCACATGTCGTTTTGACTCAACTAAGAAAAGTAGAAGGTGACCGTTTTTTTACACGCCCTCCCTCTATAAAAATTTTAAATTCCTATATATATATATATATATATATATATATATATATATATATATATATATATATATATATATAAGAAGTTGCCCAAAAAAGCATTTATACTTATTGACTACTGGTCTTGTGTTACTGAAATACTTATCATTTTCAAATTTTGTAAGGAAATTGCATTAATCAGTTTAAATATAGTAAAATGGCTGTTTTCAGTTGAGAAATCCATTTAACTAAAATTATATTTTATTCTGAATTATCCACATGCTGTTGAATCAGAGCATTTTGAATCGCTAGTGGTTTTCACAATATGGATTTCAAATATGGAAGTCAAATCTCTTCTAAATCTATTTTTCGCATTTTATACTCTTAAAAACTTCAGTTAATAACTCCCCAAAATTGACACCAATAGAATCATATAATCTCCATTTGTTATGACGCTAAGTGTAATATTTGTGCAAATATTTGATAAAGTTTAGTAAAAGAAACTTGCAGAAAGAAAGAAAAAGTTATACAAAGCACTAAGGCCCTAATTTACAAGAAATGTTCAGCGCCTGGTTTTAGCTCCAACCTTTGTGCATCATTTGCACCTGCTGTCTGCTCCACCTCAGTTCGTATTCTCAAAGCAAATAGGATTCATAATTATGGACCGGCACAAACATGGCCATGAAGTTACAGGCGTGAGCATTTTTACCATCAAATAACGGTTGTCCTCACTGCATCTAAACACAACAATCTTCAGCCACAAACACAGCGTGCACATAAGTGACAGAAAGAACAAAAAGGCAATTGTTTTCTCACAGTGAGTCCTAACGGATGAAGTCTGGAGGTCCTCCTAAAATCTGCATGAACGTCTCTTTTTATCAGGGAGGAATCATGTTCAGGATTTAATCTCTAAATCATTAATGAACAGTTTGTGCTTCCTTGGCATCCTGTTATTTTAATTAAATAATGAGTCTTTGGTTATTGTCCTGGACTAAGGGGAGCTTGCTGCATATTCTCCACCTGCTTGGGGAGTTAAAACTGGGGAATTGTGATAACTGTTTGCAAGATAACCTCTAGATGTGAAGCACTACGTGTTAAAAAGCTCTAGGATCCTAATGTATTCTGAATGTAAAAGCTGCAGCGTGATTTTCCAAACATTTATGACATATTTTTGTAGCTGCAGCAGCGTCCAACACTCATCACTGGAGGAGAGGATGAATTATACTTTCCCTGATATGAAGTGAAGGCAGCGGTGCATCAAACTGCTCCTCTTCCTCTGTTTCCTCTACTGAGATACAAATCCCACCAGGTCCAATGAGACGGGAGATGTTGCAAACACTACTTAGTTTTGAGGATTGAACTCATTTAGACCTGGCAGTAATTTACATTCATTTAACTTTTGTTTATATAGTCTTAATCTTTATGCACCTTTCAATTAGGTTTTAATAGGATTTCTACAGATGCAATGTGGTTAAAATTACCAATACATGTTGATTAACTTGCCCCCTGAGTGTTTTTAAAGGTTATTTTACATAAGTAAACACTGATTTATACATCAGTGCACAATATATGTCTAAAAATCCCAATTCATCACAAGCTGCTAACCAAGAGTTAGCATAGATGTTAGCTTAATAGTGAAAATGCCATAAATAAACTTCCCCAACTAGCATTGTGAAAATGTATACACAAATCACACGTTTCAAAGTTATTACTCAGGAAAATCTTAATATTATAACATTAATATTTAATTTCAGATATATTAACTTCATAAATCCACTTTGGCATTTAAACCCATGATGCATTGCATCTAAAAATGCATTTTACCTTCCATCCCTAATTATTATTATTTTTTCTAAATGCATGCATTAATGCTTATTTAAATGTTAGCTAAATGCTCTAGCTCAGAAAGAAGCTATTTGATAGGCAGCACAGGTTGAGGCGCACGTCTCCCTTTGCAAAAGTTTTGAGAGTGAGTCAGACGAATGCGTAAAATTTGTTTTGCTCTCAAATAGCGTTGCAAAAGCTGCACATTTATTTTTTGAATCGGCCTTTATTTATTCTTATTGACAGAGGAAAACATTATGAGTGTATTATCTGACAAATTTCTGAAAAACAGCCTATTTAGCTTTGATTTTTGTTCCGATGACAGAACCTGAGTATGCATTTTTTGTCAAGGAAAGCTTGTAGCCAAACGAATCACATGTTCTTCCTGCGTGACATTTGAACAACACAAACGATTCTAGAAGGTACGAGCGATCTACAATATCAAAAGGACTGAGCGCCGTAATTTTCTCCACTTCCAGATTCTCATTTAATAACAGAATATGAGCTCATTCTAATACACGGCTGTCAAATCAGTCGTACGATGTCTGAATCATAAAGTCCCGCCCGTTAGGAGTCCATAGAGACACAGGCTCTGTTTAAAGAGGAAACAAAATAAAAAATCATGTTTTTTTTAAATAACGTAACCATTTTGAGCTAATGAGCAACACAAAACCATTAGTAAACAGTATAAATGCTTAATTTGGGTATCTGAGGTTTTCTATTCCAACGGTATGGTACTAAGGTATCTACTACAGTAACGCAGGTAGAATGACAGAAACTATAGTACTGTGGTTAGTTTTCCTCATTCACATAACAGTTTTATTATAACGGGACACATTACAATGGTATATAAATTATACAGTATACAAATAATAATTAATACTATATAGCCTAGATATCTACTCTTTTATAAAGTGCCTCATTTTTGATTGTAGCTGTTTTTACACAGGTGATCCTAAAATGGGTTGAGAAAATGGGGTAAAAAATAATAATAGTGATAAAAAGCAGTTTCTTTTCTTTCTAAATTTGTGCAAGTGTTGCGCCGCAGAGAACCGAGCAGAAACGTCACATCGCTGCCATTCAACATCAAACAGATTGCCTTATCAGAAACTAACAACAACAAAAAATCAGTTTTGATTTTATTTGCAGTGCCTAACACTTGAGCCGCATTGTAAGCACATGCACCCTCATTTTGTTTGTTTGGGGTATTATTATATTTTGGCTTTGTCAAAAGAAAAAAAATCTCTTTTTATAAAAGTTTCTCACCCGGCGATTTGTTGAGGTATGATCCCATTTCTATTTAACGTGTTCATCGTGTCTGACGGGAAAATCTCTGCCACGAGTGCAACAGGTAGCTCAAAAATGAAAAATAATTGTATAATTCTACAATGTGTAGACTTTAATGTCAAATCTTGTTTAAATGACGTCTTCTATTTTAACTTCCCCTCTTTCTACAAAAAGTCTTGTATAAATAAGTTAACTCAGTAACGGCGCTAATCTTTTCTTGTCTGAGCCGTTGCTATAGATGTATAATAGTTTGTCGACGGTGTATAATGTGCCGTATGCGCTACTCTTTTTGGGTAAAGGAGAATAGATGAATATGTTGGTTGCTCCATGAAAATCCTCCCAATCTCATTAATTACTGAGATTTTTGGGATTTGTTTAAAGATGTCGCCAACCCACTTTAGCCTTGGCCTCGTTCAGACTAGTCATTAGCTCATCAATTCGTCCAGAAAATAATCTCTATTTCTCCAAACTGAGCTACCTACAACAGGTAAGATGCTTATAACCATTCCACAGAAGCCCCCTTCAAAAGACATGAACTATCACTTTAAAATAACTAATTTATTAATTAGAATCACTCAGTTTGACTTAGAAATTCCTTTTTTACTTGACAGCCACATGACCAAAATAAAATTTGGATTTGAATCAAATTTTCTTCCATTTTTTTTTTTTTTTTTTTTTAGAAATAGGAGCTGAAAACATAAACAAAGTTGTGTTTTTAACGGTTGTGTTTTGACTGGTTGCTGTCAGAGCCACTGGCGGCAGATTCGGCCTTGTGGTGACGTTGCTCGAACTGTACAATAATTTAGAACGTGTCAGTTGCAAATATATAAAATGTTTTCTGTATTTGTGGAGCTGCAATGTCAAACCAAACTCCTGCAGGGCTCTGTCTGTACACAGGGTAAAAACCACAGAATCAAAGGCTTCCTTCTTGTATTTCTCACATCGGTAGCTTTTCCCACATTTAAGTTTATTGTTTACATTTCTCACGTGTGCTACGAGATATATATATTTATTTTTAAATGACCATACATGTAATTTACTTTCCTGAGAGCTGAGGTGCTTCGCAGACTGATCCCACTAACACAAGTCTGGTGCCAAAATAAGAAATAAGAGTGTGTTTTGTGGTTTTACACTGGGACGTTTTTGTCACAACTCAAATACAAAATATTCCTCAACTTTTGTCATCAAGGGTTTAAATCTCACCCCTAAAAAGAGTTTATTGATGAAAACAGTTCCTTAATCCTGACAGAGTTTGTGCTAGACGTCGACAATCTCAACAAATCCACGCAAATAAGTGGAGCCGCTCCACTCTTTTTTTATAATCTCGTTATTTCTGCAGTGCAGCTCTTTTAATTGGGTATTACCGAGACTCCCTGACGGCACCTGGTAATCTCTAATCCGAGCAACAGTTGGTGTTACTCTAAAAGAACTCACAGATTTGGGTAAATGTTACTGTAAAGTACTTCATCTCTGCAGTTTCTGCTCATGAGGTTTGTTATCTGGACTGTGCTGAGGATTTTTTTACTGATCGGGGTGGAAAACAGAGAAGCGCGCCTCTGAATATTTTATAACGGCACGCTGTTTAAATAAATCAACGAGCTCTAAGTGTGGGAAACGATACTGTGTTTACAATCAGGAGAGGAGGGATCACGAGCGGAGAGCAGCATATGTATTTTACAGCGAATGATCCTACTTTGATAACGGTGTAAGTGTAAAGGATGTAAAGGATGTGGGTGTAAAGTTTACTGTGTATAAAGACGTTTGCTCCGTGGGGGAGGGATGGTGGGGAGGGGGGAGGTTTATTCTGTTCTTGGCAACAACAACAACAAAAAAAATTGTTTAAAACAAAATATTGATGATTCTTGTCTGTG